AAAATTTGAGGCCTCGTAAATGAACCACCGACGAAATGTGTTGATAGGCCCTATAAGCAGAGAATAGATATTGTACACATATATGTTTTTTATAAACAATTAAAATGTATCGAATATTAATGTATAAGAACATAGGCGAATTACTTTTGCCAGTAACAACCGACAAATTTAAATTCTACCAAAGTAATTTATCAAATCTTACAGGCATCAATTCATTAAAAATAAATTCGGATGCCTCATAAATTAGTTACGGGTCTAAATAAACGTAAATCGAATGTTTCCTAGCGAACAATCCGTTTTAAAAATAAAAATTTCCAGCTATATAATAGTTGTATTATTAGTTTGGACTCAATAGAATCCTGCCAAATTTGTCTGTTTTGGATTCAAACCACCCGTAGGTAGATATATTTTCTCGATTTTGGCACTGTGTCAGTGAAACTATTTTGTCATCATAGCTGTTGTAAATATTACTTTGAATTGGCAACATTCTACCAATAACAGTAACTTTGTTCTGGGAAGCAACTCAAATAATTGTAAATTTATTTTGTGTTCTTTTAAATTATAACTTTAAATATAAATAAGTCCTGTAGTTTAATTTAGTTTATTCATTTATAAATTTCATTTCTTCAGAAAATTGCGTCAAGTGTCCGCATTTTATAACTAGTTTCACTGGAAGAATCTTAAAAACAATTGAATATTATATTTAAAAAATAAATAAAATTTATTAAATTTATTGTTTATTTTTTTAAGGTAAATGTCTTGTTTCATTGGTTAATAATAAATCAAGTGTAAATGAACTATACTATTTTTAAATGGAATGTTATTGTTTCGGCGGATAGACATACACCACGTTTGTCCACACAACTTAAGCTTATAAACAGGAATTCAGCTTAGAGGCTCGAGTTAGGAGTCTATAACTAAGCGGTTTGGTGGAGAAGGCCCTAGCTTAGACTTATAACAGGCCTTATATAACAGGATCGTAGGGCTATAAGTATAAGTCCAGTCACGCTTATAAAGGCCCTATATTCATTCTTGTACAACTCTTGTATAATATTTGATTAATATACATATTAATCTTGTAAACTGGGCACTTTTTCATATTATATTTAAAAATATTCAAAATTAGAAAGAAAATAAGCTAAAGTTCTTAATGTGTTCGGAGTCACACTTAAGAATTATGGGCTCTCTGACAAATTTTCATGCCATAATACAGGCTTTGTTATAATAATAGATCCTCATCACCTGCCTCAAACCAGTAGTGTAAGTAGAACCGCTATTAGGGGGCCCGAATTAGAACGGGCAAACCCCCTTTTAGTACTGTGGATGTGGGTACTAGAGCTTTGGATGAAGAGTAAATACATATTGTCGCATTCAAATCTTCCTGTACTTGATTTTCTCTTCATTTACTTGTTTACAAAGCTAAGGGACCCTTGCCTTTGTAAATAACTTTGTAAGTAAGGGCTCTCCCCGGTGATGCTACCGCCTCCAACACGTGTTACCTTCCTCCAATTGTAATAATTGGCTACGTCTTGTAATAATACGTACAGAAAAAAACCCAATTTTTTTACATTGCTCGACGTTTCAAGGCCCTTTGAGGCCAAAAATGTAAATCTTGGAACATCATGTAATAAATACAACCAAATAATATGTGTCTTACATTCAACGTGTAATGTGATATGACATTAAATTTACTTGAAAACCTGTGTTGAGTGGTTTCATCCAGTGGTAGAACCTGATCTTACTCGATTAAGTGTACAATTTTCGAATTTTTAATTAACTATGACTAAAACAATTGTCCTGAAGTTCTTTTATATGGGGCGTGCCAAATAGAATTGGCACTCCCCATATAAAGGTACTATACTTCGGAAAAGCCCACAAAAAAACAAAAAAAACATGCAGAAACGGCTGGAGGTTTCGTGGGGCCTCGGAAAGTTATTAGTGGGCCCCCCAAAATACTCGTAAAAAATTTTTTTAAATCGAAAAATCATATAATTTTATTAAACGTAATTTACAAAGTTTATCATATACTCGACAAAAAATCAGAAGAAAAAAATTGAAAGTTGAGGTCCCTCTCTCGGAGGCTATAGCCCGAAAAATCGACGTCTGAATAGCTTTTTTTTTTTTTTTTTTAAGTGATGAAACTAAATCTAAATCTATGTAGTACAATGTACGAAATATTGTGTACAGAATGTTCAGTTCAATCATTCAATCAACGAAGTACAATGGTCTTTGATTGATTCCATTCAATCTTTGACAACCTTCTAAGAATAATTTTGTCCTTATATAAAGCAGAATTCCTTTGCAATAATTTAAAGCGAGGGAAAATAACTAATATTAGCATCCTGTTCGTTTGTCTGCCCGTTTATATTCGATTTATACCAGTAATTTGAAATTTCCAAGAAGGTTCAAGGGATAAAGCACCTTACTACACATCAAAACAAGATTAAAATGTCGAGAAAATACTGTTTAACCGTAACTTAATAATATAAAATTACAGTTCGTGAGATGTCCGAGCCACTTTTTGAGGCTTGTGGCATATTGCTATAAAAATGCATAAAATTGTGTAATTTGGCACAAAATAAACTTTTCTAATACACAACAATTTGCAATAATTGTTTTTGAGACCTCTGTAAGTGTGAGGACATATACAAATGATTCTGTTATCTCCAACGTGTGTAATAAAGGAAATTATCACAATATAAATTAGCATCATTCTGTTTAACATATTATTCGAATATAAGATTTCAGACAGTAATTTAAATTATTTGTACACAAAAAGTCTGTTGTTAACACTCAGAAGATAAGTTTCAATGATGAAAAAGTTGTGATTGCGATTGTCAATGAGTTGGTTAAAGGCCAACAAACTAGATCTTTTGTTGTTTGGCAATTAAGAACAATCGTTACTCTTACTTCTAACACATCGTTACGGCCCTGACATGTCAATATTATCGTTTATTGAATTTAAATAACGCAACCGTAGATGAGGATGAAGAAGAGCATCACGAGATTTGCTCTTCCTCGTCTTTTAACTAAACTTCTCCTTAGATTAATAAAAGAATTTAAAAGGTTTAATAGATTTATAGAGGATTTATAAAGGTTTAGATGAGCATCTTGATAAGGATGAGGAAGAGCAAAACTCGTGATGCTCTTTCTCATCCAATAAGTGAACTTCTCGAATTAATTTATAAAGGATAATAGATTTATAGAGTAATCTAACAATATCTATAAGTAGATATTGTTAGATTTAGAGAGAATTATAAAGGATGTAGATGATCGTTCTGTTAATGATAACGAAAAGCATCACAAAATCTGTTCTTTTCTCACCCTTTAAGTGAGCTTCTCCTTAGATTAATAAGGAATTTATAAAGAATAATAAGTAGATATTTTTCGATTTATAGAGAGTTATAAAGGATGTAGATGAGTAACCAGAAAAGGATGAGAAAGAGCAAAGCTTCCTCTTCTTTTAAACGAGCTTTTCCTTACATTAATAAAGGAATTTATGAAGGACAATAAGTAGATATTTTTATATTTGATACCAAAAAAACCTCTTTGGAATTCGAAAAATGCACAAGGTGCAAAATGCAGATTGAATTTGTTAAATAATGGACAATAAAATGGGATTAAACTAATGGGATTCGGAATTTTTGTTTAATTTCTTTTTTTAAAAAAAACATGAAAATGTAATAGTGATGGATAATTGACATCTCTGGCACATCGTGACTGCCAAAGAAACCAGAGTTATGTAACAAACATTCATTACCGACAGAGGAACGTCCATGAACATACTAAATACGTCATTTTGACTCACCCTTCTGAAGCAGTGGTTTAGTCGGTCGGTTGTCGTGACAACAATTCCAAATATTACGCCAGAAGCTTATTTTAATATCTATTTATAAAATTAGATTATAAATTTATTTATAGAATATTATTTTTTTTAAAATTATTCGCTTAAGTAATTGTATAGAAAACAATCAATGAACTCGAAGCGACGTTCGTAACGGGTATCGAAATGCCGTTTTAATCGAACGCCATCGAGTCAAATAATGCATAATTTTAATAAAATAAAATTTAATTAATTAACAATTTAAATAAATTAATCTAATTTTTCTAATGTAAAAAAGCACTAGTTTCTATGTTTATATTATTCGTCACACCGGAATTATTCGCGCAAAACGAGCGATTTTAAGGGCAATTTCTAAACTTTTTTTTAAAAAATAAAATAAAAATAAGCTCCTAAATTAATTTTTAAATATATTTTAAGTGTTCTTTTTATACTTTTTGACACACAAAAAAAATTAATTTTTTAATGCGCGACGTACGCAAAAACCGAAAAAAAATCGAGTCCAGAAAATTAATTTAAAATAAAATAAAAGAAATAAAATAAAATAAAGTTTCTTGTTGCATTTGTAATTTTACCTGCAAACGGAGAGATGGTGTAAGATTTATTTTTGAAAACGCAGTCTTTTAGTTGGCACTATTTTTATCTTTATCCTTAGAAAAGTTACAAAAATACCATTCTGATTGGTTCATACTATATAACTTTCACCACTGTATAATTCATATGCCCGTACAAAAAATCCCCGTAAAAATAATAATTACACACACATTTTAACGGCGCAACACCCGAAAAATGTATCCAACACTTAATAACACGGAGGAAAAAAAAATATATATATATATATATATATATAAATCAAGTGCGATGGTACTTTTATTGAGCTTAAAATGGGCTTTAAAATACGAGGGTGCACCGTGTAACAATGGAGCAGCGACGACCAAAAAAAAAAAAAATGTCGCACACAAGAAAATAAACCGAAGATAAATTCGATAGATGACGAAAAGGTAAGAAAGTCAGGTGTGGGGGTGGGAATTTGGCAAAATGAATGTTGGAGAAAGCAACGCAGGTAATACGACACTCGTGATATCACTAAAAGACCACGCACGGATGACGTAACTACCAATGGGTACCACCACTAGTCCCCTATATGTCTCTCTGTTCGTTCGACCCTCTGAGTTTCTTTCGGAACGTGTGCAAAACACCAGAAAACTCTCTTACCGTACGACAGTGCGTGCACAGTGCACTTTCGAGTGTGATCGACCACAGCCATTAGGAACAGGTGTATTGTTGAGTTAAACTTCGACTTCTATCTTCAAGTAAGTTTGTTGAAGCTTATCCTCATTGTGAAACAGAAAAATTTCCGTTTTTTTTTCTAATTATTCTTGCTTTTCGCTTGTTTTTTGAATTTATTCCACTTTTGACTTACTTTCCTTTTTCCATTTTCGTTCCTTATTTCGCGCCTTATTTTCCAAGAAAAATGTGATTCTTCGGCAGTTTTTAATCATCGAAAGGATTATTAAAAAAGAAAAAAAACATTAAAAAAATAGGAAACGGGTCAGCCGCAAACCGATGAAATCTAAGCCATTGCCATATAAGGCAACAAAACTTCCTAGTTCCTGGAAGTATCAGTAGGGGGCGTCAGTAAGTCGGGTTTGAGATTCCATCACCGAAATCTGATCGACTCCTTCAATTGATTTCTGCTTCTTATCACTCCTTTTTTTAAATTTTACTTTCTTAGAATCTTTCGACACGCACGTGATTCATATTTAATTTGATTTTTTTTTTTATTATTTCCCAACACCAAAATAGGATTTTCTTACTTCATGCAGCTGTCAGGAACACGTCCGAAACCTTTCAAACACTCCCGACACCCATAAAGAGGTCACATTTAAATGAGAAGAATGCAATTGCCTAGCGAATTCTAAAGGGGGTGCGTACTATACGAGTCGAATAGTATTTTTAACCATCTATTTTGGACTTTGTACAGTACTTTATAGCATCGTAAAAGTAAACAATTAAGTTTAATGAACTTCCATTCAGCGAATGCCACTTAGTTTTTCGAATCGAATCGCGCCTCCCCCATTAAATCGTCTCTTAAACGGGAGGGAGAGAGTATTTTTAATGGTTTAAATCAGTTGGGGGGGATGGAGATTCATGTCATCGCACAGTTTACAAATCTAACCTACTCTTTCGGGGTTCGTATACTAACCCAGTTTTCTGTTGTTTTCGATTGTTTTCGATGACAGGAAATTTTTGTTTAACTGGAAACAGGTAGTTAACTTTACAACTTGCCCGGTGCCAAGCTGGCACGACACGAAATTTCCAAACTACCCACGCCAAATGTCGCGTGCAGATTTCCGTTTGCCACCTCGAGTAAACGAGGGAAAAAAGAAGAAAAGAACACATACACATAACATGCTATATTTAACATCATACTGTTAATGTTTCCCATTTAAGGTGGCTTCTTCGGTTTACCTTTGCACCATTCTATAACTGTTTATGTTAATACACACGTTTTCTTTTTTTTTACTTGACTGTGTAATAAAATACTCGAGAATTCTTTCATAATTATTATCGTTGCATAATATTAAAATTGAGTAACAAATAACTTACACAACGATTTTTGTAGATCTCCATCTTTAAAAAACACGTTTTCTTTATGCGATTTCTCAATTTGGAATTTGAATTTTAGAATTAAATTTGATTTTATTTTTTTTAAATATTTATGCATTTTTAGGTCTTAATCTTAATTTTATTCGTCTTAATTTTTCTTAATTAGAATTAGTTAATTTTTAATGAGCGATATAACGAGGTAACCTCATTATATCGCTTATTTATTTTAAAATAATCAAATTGTAATTTTTATTTCGCAAGAATTTCAAGAAATAAACATTCCAACTAGAGAAAATAAACTTTGAATTTATAGTTTCTAAAAGTAGAATAATTTATCAACAAGAAGTTATTTATATATCCATATAAGTAGATTAAATAATTACATAATTTAAAAAATAAATGAATAATAATTATGCATTAAGGTTAATTCAACTTCCCCCCCACTTCTCAACCCCTGTTAACTACAAGAGGTCAGCAGGTTTGATGCCATAAAGGGTTGCTCCAGATGACCAAAATTACGCTTTGTGGCGTAAGATTTCGGAGGTTATAAGGCCAGAAGGGACTTAAACACGATTTTAAACCCGTCGTAACACTTGTTACGTGTTTGTTTATGACACAAGGTCGTGCTTCATTGAATTAAATAGTTGAACGATGACTTTTTTCTAATCTTGTCCGGGTGGACAATTTAATTCTTTGTCTCGATTTAGCTTTTATAATTAGAACTGTGACGCGCTGTTGCATGTATAAAAAGATCCTTCTCATTAAAGAGGGGTTAAAATTAGATTGCTGACGATTTTTTTCCGCTTATTTCTAGATAAATCGCCATGCCTTTCAAGCCAGTTGAACAAGCCAAATGCCCAAAATGCGGCAAGTCCGTCTACGCCGCCGAAGAGATGTTGGCTGCTGGTCAAAAATGGCACAAAACTTGCTTCAAATGCGGTAAGTGATTTAACGGGTCATTAAATTCATACGATTTTCTGTTTTTTTTTTAACGTCCGTCTTACGCAGGTTTGTGCCACAAGAGGTTGGACAGCACAAACGCCACCGAACACGGAGGTGAACTGTTTTGCAAACAATGTTACGGAAGGAAATTCGGTCCCAAAGGTTACGGTTTCGGCGGTGGAGCAGGTTGTCTCAGTATGGACAAGGGCGAACATTTGGGCAACACCGATTGCGTCAGGTAATTGTTTAAATTTTAAATCTCTTCTATCACGTCTCCTCTAAGCAACATGCTAACAATACCCTTTTTTTACTTGGATTTTCTAGCAACAAGCCACTCGACCCCAATTATAACTAGATTTTTTGCTTATCTGTTCTCTGCATCACCGTTTAGAATCGTCATCAACTAAAAAAAGAAGAAAAGAAAATGGAAAAAACAGGAAAAATGATCATCATTGTCAAATTGATTTTGCTCCTATCCAACAATTATTGTTGGATAGGGATGTGTTACATTGCCTGACGATGTACATGTAATAAAAATCAACAAAACGATATATTGTTATTTATTCATTCCACGCTGCTTATTATATAAATTGTAATTAATATCTCCCCTTTAATTAAGGATAATTTTAATTGCTTACGTCGAAAAAATAAATAATAAAAAACACATAACGAAGCACGCTGAAAATTGCTGAAGAAATGTAATTTAATTTTAATTTTTTTCTGGTTTTTTTTTAATTATAATTTACAGGGGAAGAATAGAACTTAGTGATGAAACGATGTGTATATAGATTTAGTTCTTAGCAGGTTTTTTTTTGCTTGGTTGTTGAGTTGTGATAAAGAGAAAATAAAATCGAACGATAGTAAACAAAATTTATATTTATAAAGATAAATAATCACTAAAAGACCACNGTCGGATTAGCGATCCCACAAGTAGGAAAAGGGCAAGGGATTGTACGGGGGCCCCTGAATACTATCACCATCGAATTCGTTAATTTTTTCAACAAATTCGATTTTCAAAATTCCAAGACATACATTATCAGAATTAAATAGGATTCAAACACAAACTGTTTGGGTCTACGTTCGTCTTTTTGAACATAGGATCTCCCCATAGAAAACTCGTAATATGGCGATGTCTTGCTTCCTGTATTCAGGACGCGCATTTCAATAAGTGGCGATTGCTTATTCAAATCACTCATTTTCTCGCAAATAGACAATCTAAGGTATTATTTGTAAAGATCGTTTGCTATCTTGATTAAGAAACTTGCAATTCGATATTTCAATTCTAATATGATGACACTCACTCTTATTAAAGTCTAGGGGTGGGGAGATAATGGGGGTAGACTTAATGACCATTTGACTCGTTATTGACATTTACAATTATTAACTCATCCATACCCTCAAAATTAAGCCTTTGCCATTTTTTAATAGTTTAAAATATCACAACAAATCCGCCACCAAATATTGTCGGGAGTTAAGCAACTCGTTGCTGGATTTTTTTATTCCTTAGAAATCTTTATTGAAAAACGACGAGAAAAACTAACTCAAAATTCGCGACAACGTTAAACTTATGCTGCATTACAAACTTTTTTTAGCTTGTAATGCAGCATAAGTTTGTGTGATCTGAACCTATTAACTAAAGTTAATGCCATCTTTCATTAGTTTATTGTTCATAAATATTGAATATATAATTGAATAAATTTTTTAAAGATCAAAACGAAGTCAATGTTTAAAAGATTACACAATTTATTTTAAAAACATTCAACTCAATAGTGTAATTTACAGAAATTACTCAATTATACAAAAATAACCAATTTTAATCAAAACTGATTCAGTCACTCCTATGGTTATAATATACAAATATACATAAATTTTGGAATTATACACAAATATAGGAAATTTCAATGCAAGTTTTTTCACCAGCAAATAAAACAGAAATTTTAAAAATCAGAAACATTCAGATTTAGTTCTGTTTAGTTTTAAATGCCATATTCACACACATTATATACAAACACATTTTATGCTGTACTTAATTTATTTGTAAATAGATGCACTTAAGTACAAACACCGTCTTAAGTACAAGTATCACGTCTGTTGTTCCCATGACAAACTATTAGATATTATCTTGGCAAATGTTCTCATTGATAAAAGTATTCGCATTTTCTTCAAGATTATAAAGCATCAGTAAAAGGACTTGTTTCAATGCAAACAAAACAGATTTTACATGAGTTTTTTTTTGGTAGTTCTGTTAATCTGCAATAAAATTACAATACATTCAAAATGTAATTTATAAATCATGCTACTTATTTTGTTAGAATGCTCTAGAACAGTGTTTCTCAACGGGGCGATATCACCCCCACATGGGCGTTTTTCCATGTTGAGGGGGCGATTAGTAACAATTTTCTGGGCGATATAGTAAAACATTATATTAAGAATAATTAGATATTTTATTCGTTATATCGTACAATAATTAAACAAACAACACTATACTAGTCACTAGTCTATTCGATGCAATACGAATTTGGCGTTAGCCTTGGCTCTGGGAATCGGAATTTTGAAGTGAAGGGGGCAACGATTCGTTAGAGGTTGAGAAACACTGCTCTAGAACTTAAAATATTTTAAATAATGCAATCAATATCATTTGTTGCACTTAAAAGATAAAAAAGATAAAAGATTTCAGATTTCTGTTGTTTTAATGCTCATTTTCCATTAATAAAAATTATAAAAATTTCCCTTTTTATATGACTAATCAAATTTCATACTTTTATTATATTTTCAGTAAAGTTAGAGAGTTGGCAGAGAATTTTTTATATTAGTTTCTAATAGTAGTACACAGTAATCAATTATTGACAAACTTTATCTAAAAACTAAATTTATAGCAACAAAAACAAATCAATTGCTTTCTTATTAATTGGATCAATGAACTGACAATTGCTTAATTCACTTTCAACATAAACTGGTTTCCAAAAATTAAGGAACAAAGTGAAAGTTTTACAATATTTGGAAAAGTACTGAACTTACTGTATGAAATTTGGTGTTAATTTATTATTATGTGATTCAATAATATCCAAAGTTATTATTTAATAAAAATAAATTATAGTCAACATTGTTTCATATAATGACATGTTAACAAAGAGAATGATCACTCCTCACAGCAATATTTCATTTATATTTCATGCTAAAAATAAAATTGTATAAAAGCTCTTTTGGAACTGATAGAGCCACTGTTTCATCGATGCACCAAGCTCCTGCGGGGTTTGAAAGGAATAAACTTGTAAGGCCCCAAACACACTTTGCCTAGAGCAGGCATGGTCAACATACAACTCTTGTGGTGCATGTTTTGACCGATTGCCATACTTTCCCCTTTTATATATCAATATAATAGCTGGGAAAGTAACATTGAACGAAGTTTCAGTAAATCCAAATACTGCTATTAGCGGCGCCCGCATATTATGAAAAAGGGAGCAAAGCAATAAAAGGGCATCGTACTGTACATTACGCAAGGAGCTTCAACGTCGGATTAGCGATCCCACAAGTAGGAAAAGGGCAAGGGATTGTACGGGGGCCCCTGAATACTATCACCATCGAATTCGTTAATTTTTTCAACAAATTCGATTTTCAAAATTCCAAGACATACATTATCAGAATTAAATAGGATTCAAACACAAACTGTTTGGGTCTACGTTCGTCTTTTTGAACATAGGATCTCCCCATAGAAAACTCGTAATATGGCGATGTCTTGCTTCCTGTATTCAGGACGCGCATTTCAATAAGTGGCGATTGCTTATTCAAATCACTCATTTTCTCGCAAATAGACAATCTAAGGTATTATTTGTAAAGATCGTTTGCTATCTTGATTAAGAAACTTGCAATTCGATATTTCAATTCTAATATGATGACACTCACTCTTATTAAAGTCTAGGGGTGGGGAGATAATGGGGGTAGACTTAATGACCATTTGACTCGTTATTGACATTTACAATTATTAACTCATCCATACCCTCAAAATTAAGCCTTTGCCATTTTTTAATAGTTTAAAATATCACAACAAATCCGCCACCAAATATTGTCGGGAGTTAAGCAACTCGTTGCTGGATTTTTTTATTCCTTAGAAATCTTTATTGAAAAACGACGAGAAAAACTAACTCAAAATTCGCGACAACGTTAAACTTATGCTGCATTACAAACTTTTTTTAGCTTGTAATGCAGCATAAGTTTGTGTGATCTGAACCTATTAACTAAAGTTAATGCCATCTTTCATTAGTTTATTGTTCATAAATATTGAATATATAATTGAATAAATTTTTTAAAGATCAAAACGAAGTCAATGTTTAAAAGATTACACAATTTATTTTAAAAACATTCAACTCAATAGTGTAATTTACAGAAATTACTCAATTATACAAAAATAACCAATTTTAATCAAAACTGATTCAGTCACTCCTATGGTTATAATATACAAATATACATAAATTTTGGAATTATACACAAATATAGGAAATTTCAATGCAAGTTTTTTCACCAGCAAATAAAACAGAAATTTTAAAAATCAGAAACATTCAGATTTAGTTCTGTTTAGTTTTAAATGCCATATTCACACACATTATACAAACACATTTTATGTTGTACTTAATTTATTTGTAAATAGATGCACTTAAGTACAAACACCGTCTTAAGTACAAGTATCACGTCTGTTGTTCCCATGACAAACTATTAGATATTATCTTGGCAAATGTTCTCATTGATAAAAGTATTCGCATTTTCTTCAAGATTATAAAGCATCAGTAAAAGGACTTGTTTCAATGCAAACAAAACAGATTTTACATGAGTTTTTTTTTGGTAGTTCTGTTAATCTGCAATAAAATTACAATACATTCAAAATGTAATTTATAAATCATGCTACTTATTTTGTTAGAATGCTCTAGAACAGTGTTTCTCAACAGGGCGATATCACCCCCACATGGGCATTTTTCCATGTTGAGGGGGCGATTAGTAACAATTTTCTGGGCGATATAGTAAAACATTANTTCCTTAAGTTGGGAAATTGATTTTCTTTGATAAAAATTTTATAAAAATCTATCAAATTTTTTCTTCAAAAGTATCTTTCAAATCAAAATTACTTTGCAAGTCTATTATCTTCAATTAAAGTTCATTTAATACATTTTCTATACTTACTGAAAAAAAATGCTGTATATATGTTTCATTTCTTTGGTTAAGGAATAGCATAACAGACAGATTAACTCTAGCTTTGAAAACCTTTTCCTTACTAATGACAAAATTATTTCTACTCCTCAGGCTACAAGGGTGGGAGGAACTTTTATAGCAAAACAAATCAAACTTTTCCATTGGCAGATTTCATTTAAAATGGATAAGGCCAATTTTGTGTTTAAAGAGTTAATAGTATATAACTTACAAAGAAACCAAAAACTAAATACAGATATTTCAAATATATATGAAATAGCTGTATTGAGCAGTCAGTAGTCTTACTAAATGTCAAGAGCCCACTTTGTACATGTCTGGTAGTTTAATCTGACTTCATACTGATGTGAGCCATGAGTTGTCCACCTCTGCTCTACAGAAGAGTAGAGCAGAGATGATTATATGAATTGACCACTTATTAAAAAAATAATAATAATAGAATAATAGAACATGCAAATTTGTTGAATCAGAATGTCGGTCTAAACGTTGATGCATGCTGGGAAAAATTTATTTGTATAAAAGAAAACAAGTGTCTGGTTGTTGGATAATCCACTGAAGAGGCTGTAACGGCGAAATGCATTTGGAAAGTGATTTGAAAATTACAAAAATAAAAGAATTAACATTGCCTCAAAATTAAGCCTTTGCCATTTTTTA